CATGCCTGTAGTCCCAGCTACTCGGGAGGCTGAGGCAGGAGGATCACTTGAGCCCAGGAGTTTGAGGTTGCTGTGAGCTACGATGACGCCACGGCACTCACTCTAGCCCGGGCAACACAGTGAGACTCTGTCTCAAAAAGAAAAAAAAAAAAGAAACAGAAAAATTACTGATTTACATTTAAAAAGAAACCTATTCAGGCCCAAATTTAAGAGAAGATATTATTTACTGTATTAAGTTTCATATTATAACTAAATAAGCCTCCAGACTCAGATTTAAATAGCTGAAAAAATTATGTAGGGCTTTCCTAAGCTTCCTTGAGATATTCTGAAAAGCAGAAAAGTCATAAAAAATTAAGAGAGACTTAATGCTAAATGTGCTTCATTATCTACATATATTATAAAAAGATTTTTTTATAGATAGAGCAGATACATTTTTAAAAATAGCAATGGGGAAAAAATTCATACACAGCAGCCTCAAACAGCTTTTAAAATGGTGATTTCACTGATGCTGTTAACGTCTCTAAGCAACTGAAGCTGTGGGCTAAAAAAAACAAATGGCTGGGGATGACTCTGCAGAGAGAGAGAGACAACACAAAGGCATGGGTTTTGGTAAAAGTCTAAGTTCTTTACCTATACCCACTCCCATCCCACATTCCAAATTCACTAATGTTTCTTCCAGAATTGTGGATTTTCAGGACCTCCCTTGAAACAAATCATTCCTAAAATTGCATACGCAGCAGAAGCCATAAAAGAATACAGCCCAAATTCCCTAAGCAAGAAGGGAATGACTGTGGACATTTGAACTCAGAAGCATTACTTGTGATGCTAGTGTTAGAAAGTCTAATAATTTGGTCTGAATGATGATGCAATATATCTTAGAAGAAACACTCTACATAAAATAAACAAAACAATTGGTCTATCCTGGGAAAACCTGACATGAACCAATTATATCTTAATGAAGAAATCAAAATTACGAATCAAGCAATTCATAATGTAAAAAGCAAGGAGCACAACTGCCTCACATGGCAAAGATGCTGTGAGTAATTTAGGCAAAAGGTAATCAAAATAATAATAATAATTCCACAATATATCTCATTTCAACCACATCCATTATACCCAATAGATTCAGTCCATTTTAAACTCCCTCCCAATGCAAGGAAAATTTAATATTTTAAAGTATTCTCTCACTTCAAACTATCCCATAAGCAATATTTAAGTTTTTTTCAAAGCCAATTCCAACAACAATTCTTAATGTATTCTTCAACCAAATTGACTCAGTATTATAGTCAACCACGCACTATCAGCAGCTAAATCCCTGTTTGGTAAATAAAGCATTCTTCTTAATTTAGCTTTGGATTAATAATGGCAATCTCTAACTTTAAGCATACCTGGTATAAACAATGGCACACACTTCGAAGCTGAGGGGGGAATTCTAAGGAGGAACTGATGATGGCATGGAAGAACTTTTCAGTCATCTGAAGAAGGTTCCGCTGGTTTTCCTCAAGGCTCTCTGATGGTTCTAACCTACATGAAAAGGAAAGGTGAAATCGTAACATTTCAGTTTAAAACAAATAAAAATCATTCCTTAGAAGAGACTCGTTTAGAGATATTCAGCCAAATGCAATGTGTGGACTTTGCTGGGATCCTGATTTGAACAAAAACTATTAAAAAGACAATTTGAGACAACCCCAAAAAAGGTAACAAAATTAGTCTTAGATATTATTGAGGATTATTTTTAATTTCACTGGATATGGAAATACTTGGGCTTTGTGCCTGTTTTCTTGAAGTCTGTATCTGTTTTATGGGATTTGCTTTAAAACACCTGAGCAAAAAAGGGGGACAAAGGGATAGGTAACAAGAACAGTAGGTATTCTTCCAATTCACATTCCTCCATATGTATACACCCGTATGAAAAAATTAACACACATATGATGTGGGTTGTAGATTTTTTCATCAATAGTAACAAAATGCAACTTTCATCTTTCACTCTACATTATGTTTCTGAGATTTACCCTGCTGATACATAAAGATCTAGCTCATTCACTTTACTGAATAATAGTCCATTATACTGCATACCATGATTTATCTGTTCTCCTATTAATGAACATCATAAATTTTTCACTTTTATAGACACCACTGCAATGAACACTGTTGAGCACATATAAGAGTTTCTCTAAGGCAACTACCTAAAAATTAAGTTTCTGAGTCATTGAGTCAATATGCAAATTTAACTTTATTAGACATTGCCAAATGGGTCTATAACCAGTAGTATATAAGAATTCTTATTCCCCTGCATTCTCATAAATTTAGTGTACCAATCTAGTAGACAGGAAAGGGCATCTCAAGTTTTTAACTTCTATTTCCACAATTCCTGGTAAGGTTAGACATGCTATTATATATTGTGAAGCTATTCAGGTTTCCCCTGTCTTCGACTGCCTTCACACCCCAATCTGACATTTCTAAATGCTAGATGTCCCTCCCACTGGTACCAAAAACTCAGTATGCCCCAAATTAATTGATTTTTCCTCTTACTCTTATGTCTTTTTTTTTTTTAAGCCAGTCAAATTTGGCAGTGGGGGGTTGTACACCAACTTCAGTGATACTACCATTAATAAATTCTGATAACCCAGTACCACAGGACCAGCCTACTCTAGGTCTTACCTTGTGTTCCCACGATGTCAAAGGCACCATCACTGTCTTAATAACTTCATTCTGGCTGTGTCTGGTGTCACTTTTTCCTGCTCTACTTCATTACTCCCCACATCCACTCAGTGTTGCTAATTCTCATGAGTATGACCTCCAAAGTCTTTGTGTTGTGATTAAAGGAAGAGATTCCGAAGGCAGACTTACTAAGTTTAAATTTCAGTTCTACCAGTATTGACCATTACAAGCTTGGTCACAATACTTAAATTCTTTGGGCCTCAGTTTTTCTCATCAATAAGACAAGAACAACAATGCTTATTTTGTGGTTGTTTAAATTTTACACAATGGCTAACGAATCTACAAAGCTTTACTCTCCAATTGGCTTAATCTGAACTCTTCAGCCCTTATGAAACTCACCACTAAAATATGTGTTATACGTTTTATCTCCCCTACTAAACTGTAAACTCCTTGAAGGAAATATTCATCTTTGTCCCCTTAAAGACTAGCACAGTACCTTACGAAAGCAAATACTGAGTAAATACTTGTTTTCACTATCTTAGCTAGTAATTTTCTATTTCTATACTAATTTATCTATTACATAAATGCTTTGGACACTTCTGTCATCACTCCAGATTCTTTGCAGCTCGCTGTGTGGTATAACACATGCATACAGTAAGAGTTGAAAAATTAATATAGACTGCAAAGTAGGAAAGATTTCATGGAACGGGCGAAGTTCTAAAGGAGGCAAAGAATTTGCATAGGCAAAAAGAAGTAAGGGTATTTCAGAAAGAGGAAGTAGGCAAGGCAGGTACTCAGTTCAATCCGGTAAACATTTATTACACATCTACTAATTGCCATCCTAGTGCCAGGTGCTAAAGATTCAAAAATAACTGCCCTTTGACCTTTTCAAAGAGGGGAAAGGCATACACATCTGGTATTCCACACTAAGTAATGATTAAATAATTCAAGAATATTGTGATAAATATAAATTTGGTCTCTGCCCCTGGTTCCTGGCACACAGCTCCTAAAACCCTTGGAATCTCCAGAGTGAGAAGAGTGTCTTTTGTATGATATTTAGATGACTGGTGGTCAGGGGCCCCTGGAGCACTTCAGGATGGGGGCTGGTCACCAGAAAGACTAGGGCATGATTAAAGGGTTGGGACTGTCAGCTCTACCCCCAACTTCTAGGGAAGGATGACGGGCTGAAGGATGAGCTTATCGCTAACAGCCAGTAATTTAATCAATCATGCCTATGTAATAAAGCCTCCATAAAAACCCAAAAGGATAAGGTTCTAAGAGCTTCCAGGTAGCTGAACACATGCAGGTGCCTGGAGGGCATGTACAGAGGGCAGAGAAACTCCAAGGCCCCTCCCCTATACTTTGCCTTATGCATCTTTCCATCTGGCCATTCATCTTTATCCTTACAGTAAATAGGTAAACACATGTAAAGTATTTCCCCAAGTTCTGGGAGCCATTCTAACAAATTAATCTAACCCAAGGTGGGGGTCGTGGGAACCCCGATTTATAGTTCGTTGGTCAGAAGAACAGGTTACAATGCTTGTGACTGGCATCTTACGGGACTGAGCAATTAACCCGTGGGATCTGATGCCATCTCCAGGCAGTTGGTGGCAGAATCCAACTGAGTCATAGGATACTTGGTTCTTGTCCACTGAAGAATTACTTGGTATGTGGGGAGAAAAAAAACCCACGCATCTGGAGACTGTGTTGAATGTGAGTAGAGAGGAAAAAGCAATTTATTTTTTCCTTTACAGATAGACAAAATAGCAAAGCAGAGACAGATATCATTACTTCATATGGCTTATGGTTGAAAGAAGGTAGAGGAGGAAAATGAACTTGAAATATGTGGATAACTCAAAAGAGATTGGTCTAAAGATGGGGATTATACACAGGGAGAACCATTAAGAAGCCACAATAGTAATTCAAATCGTAGATACAGAGGGCCTAGGAGTTTTAGGGGTATGAATGAAAAGATTAACAATTTCTTTAACAAGGCTCAGAGACTCCTAGAAATCTTGACAATTCTTGTCTACTTTGTGGAAGCTTTTTTTCTAGTCCACACAGCAGCAGGGACTCTGCAGTCTGTTTCAGGTTTCCCTTCTAGCCACAGTGCTCTCTCGCCTCCCACATGCCAATGGTGGCCTGTTGGCATGATCTATAATGAAGCTTTGTGTTCAATACTTAAGTATTTGTGTATATAAAACTTTGCTTTGGTTTGATTTTCAAAGAACCAGCTTTTGGCTTCATTATTTTTTTCCTATTGTTTTCCTGTTTTCAATTTCATTAATTTTTGCTCTTTTTTTTTTTCTTTCCTTCTACTTGGTTTAGGTATTCCTGTTTTTTCTGTAGTTTTCTAAGGTAAACTTAGATTATTGATTTTAGATCATTCTTCTTTTCTAGTATATATTGTTTCCCTTTAAGCAACTGCTTTCACTACATCCCACAAACTTTGATAAGATATATCTTCATTCAGTTTTTCTTTGCATTTCAGTTTGGGAAGTTTATATTGATATATATTCAAGTTCAATGATCCTTTTCCTCAGTTGTGTCCAGAACTACTGACGAGCTCATGAAAGGCATTCTTCCTTTGTTACAGTGTTTTTGATTTCTAGCACTTTCTTCTGATTCTTTCTCAGAGTTTCCATGTCTCTGATTATATTACCCATCTGCTCTTACACACTGTCCATTTTTTCCATTAGAGCCCTTAGCATATTTCATAGTTATTTTAAATCCCAATCTGATAATTCAAAAATCTCCACCGTATCTAAGTCTGGTTTTGATGCTTACTTTGTCTCTTCAGAGACTGATTTTTTTCCTTGCCTGTTAGCATGCCTTGTAATTTTTTGTTGAAAGTCAGACAAGATGCATTGGGTACCAGGAACTGAGGTAAATATGCCTCTAGTCTGAGGTATCATGTTGATCCACCCAGGAGTTAGTTGTGCTTAACGTTTGCTGTAGGTGCCCATTTCCAGTAGCGTCCTTGCTTTTGTCTCCCTTGTTGTCTCTGGGTTTCCCCAGAAATTACGTCTTAAGTAGAGTCTCTGTGTTGCAGTTCTCTCAGTGGTAATATATTGGAGCCCTGTTGATTGGGTTATTGGGGAAGAGAAGTATTCTATCATTTAATTCTACCTCCATTGTTTTATTGGGCCAAAGTCCCTAAGCTATGACCTTTAGAAGAATTTCTTAGCCTTTTTTTCTCCTCTCCTTGCATGAGGCAGAAAGGTTAAATGGAGCTGAGTTGGCTAATTACTCATCCTCCAGGTCAGATAAGGCTCTAGTAAACTTAACTTCTTTCGAGGGCAGGCCTTTGTTAGGGATAACAGGACACTATGAGCATATTTTTAAATGGTTACTTTTCCCCTTCCCAAAGGACGAAGGGTTCTTTCTCCCATCTTCACTATGAGAACCTGGTGAGGCTTCTGGAGGTAAAATTCACAAAGGTGTGGGGGTCCCCCTAAGACTGAGGCCCTAGGAGTTTTAACTCTCTAGCTAGTCCACACTTGGCTTCCAGCAATTCATCGATTATGGTCTAAGTGTTCCTACCAGTTACTGGATATGGCAGCTTCTTCTCCCGGTAGGCTGTGATTCTCTGTATCAACCTGTCCCTCCAGTTTTTGGGGTGACAGTTTGCCCAGTAACCTTGAATCTCTGGTATATCTAAGAACAGTTGCTTATTAATAGTTTTTCAGCTTTTTTCTTGGTGTGAATATGGGAGTGTTGACTTTCAAGCTCTTCAAATCAGACTGAGAGTGGGCCTCGGTCTGATTTTAAGCAGTCTGAATATATTGAGTTTGCTATCTTATTCACTTATCTGCACCACAGCACGTAGTACAGTAGATTTCTTTAAGGCACTCTCTTATAAGTAATTCGTTAACCTTTAAGAAGTAAACTGCTTAATAAATGGATTCATTAAAGTTGCAGGATATAAAAACAACATACAAAAACCAGTAGTATTTCTATGTTGGTCAAAGGGTAAAAGTTATAGTTAGCATGAATAAGCAATTCTGGAGATCTACTGTCCAGCATGGTCACTATAGTTAATATTGCATACCTGAAAATCACCACACACACACACACACACACACACACACACACACACACACACAGAATCAGCATAAGCAATTGTCAGAGAAAAAAAGGAAAGTGAACTTGCTTATTAGTAACAAAATATAAGAGGGCTTTAAGAGAATTTTTTTTTTTTTTTTTTTGAGACAGTCTCCCTCTGTTACCCTGTTACCCAGGCTAGAGTGCTATGGTGATAGCCTAGCTCATAGCAACCTCAAACTCCCAGGCTCAAGCAACTCTCCTGCCTTAGCTTCCCAAGTAGCTTGGACTACAGGTGCGTGTGACCCGTTTCTACTAAAAATAAAAAAGAATATTGCTTTTAAGTTTTAAACTATAACTGTTTAACTATTTTAAGAAAAATTGGCTAATTTAGTGCTGAATTTCTGATTAGAAATTACCGTTGATATTTCAACAAAGGCAGAGCCAAAAATACCAACTAATACATAGTTGTTAAATAATAATTTTTTAGGAAGAACCATCGAGAAGCTCCAAACTTGAAAGTAAAAAAATAACCTTAAGATCCTAACTGAAAGACAGACAAGAGAACGTTAACAAGTGGCTTAGAAAAAGCAATTCATTCATTCAACAAATATTTATAAAATGTTAACTATTAATATAAGCCAGATACCATGCTAAATACTCACAGAAGGATAAAAAGATATAAAAAGTACCTAACAGCCAATAGTCTAAAGAGGAGATAATTCATAAAATAAATCACCACAATTAAGTGTTACAATGGTGGTGTGGAGCACAGAAGAAAGATTATTTCTTTGTTCATATGTAGCGTGTGTATGGGTGGTACCTGGTAAAAGGCAGAGACAGCTTCAGAGACATAGTGGCTCAAATTGCACCCTGAGTTACCTGTCACCCTCTTTCCTTTCTCCTAAGTCACTTCCTCATTATAGGAGAAGAAGTGAGTTAGAAAAAAGAGTTAAGCATGCTCAACTCAGTGCCGTCCTCACCAATCTAGATATGTCTGCCTGCAGAGAAGATGCATTCTGGTCTGATTTCTACTTGTGTGGTAAAAAGCTTGCTAGCACCTATGAGCGATGCTTGTAGTTATCCAGCTGTGCATGAAATGAGGTAGATGAGTCTAATTCAAGGTGCGGTATTAGGAAGCCTATTTGCCCACAGCATCTAAAGCCACATTCTCCAATCATTTTTACCAGAAATAAAGATGATATCTGATTTCTGGGTACCTCCCTTCATCTCCCTTCACCCCTTCTTGGTTTTGAACTTGGGCAGGGAAGAGGAATATTATTTGGTAGGCATCTCCAATCCCAATGAATCCCATGTGCCATGCCACTTTAAAAATACATAATGTGCATGTTTCACTGGAGCTCAAAGTACAGAGTACATATGAAAGAATGATAAGAGGTGAAGGTAGATTATAGCTACTACAAGGCAAAAGACTATGTACTTTATCTTACTGTCAATGGGGAACCATTGATGGTTTATGAGAAAGAAAGTGACAAAAAATTTATGTTTTAGAAAAATAATTCCTATAGCAAATGGCCTGAAAATGAAAAGACAATGCTGGGACAATAATTAGGAAGGTACTACAGAAGTCAAGTGGTGATGGCACTGGCCAAATAATTATGATACAGCCAAACTATGAAACGTTATGTAGCAGTTCAAAAGAATGAGATTGATCTTTATATACAGACAGAAAGATCTAAGACATATGGTTAAGTTAAAAAATATTAAGTTGGGCTGGGCGCAGTGGCTCACGCTTGTAATCCTAGCTCTCTGGGAGGCCGAGGCGGGCGGATTGTTTGAGCTCAAGAGTTCGAGACCAGCCTGAGCAAGAGCGAGACCCCGTCTCTACCAAAAATAGAAAGAAATTAATCAGACAACTAAAAATATATAGAAAAAATTAGCCAGGCATGGTGGCGCATGCCTGTAGTCCCAGCTACTCGGGAGGCTGAGGCAGGAGGATCGCTTGAGCCCAGGAGTTTGAGGTTGCTGTGAGCTAGGCTGACACCACGGCACTCACTCTAGCCTGGGCAAAACAGTGAGACTCTGTCTCAAAAAAAAAAAAAAAAAAAAATATTAAGTTGGACAACTATGTATACAATATGATACCATTTATATTAAGCACTCATATCATAATATATATTTTCTACAATTACATAGAGGCATGTGTTGCTTACCAAGGGGGATACATTCTGAAAAATGCATCCTTAGGTGATTTCATTGTTGTGGGAACACCAGAGAGTTCACTAGCAAACTTAGATGGTATAGCCTACAACATACCTAGGCTGTATAATACAGCCTATTGCTCCGAGGCTACAAACCTGTATAGCATATTACTGTACCGAATGCTGTAGGCAACTGTAACACAATGGTAAGCATTTGTGTATCTAAATGTATCAAAACAAAGAAAAAAGTAAAAATACAGTATTATGACCTTATGGGTCCGCAGTTATATATTCAGATCATCATATATTTAGATCGTCGTTGACTGAAATGTCGTTATGTGGCTCGTGACTGTATATATATCAATACATGCGAATACACGGAAAAAGGAGAAAAGAACAGACTAAACCAGAAACAGTCTCTGGAGGTGACAAAGACACCTTTAACAATAATCTGTAATTTTTTTAAGAAAAATGTATTTGTGTATAACTTTTATAATTAAAAAAGTAATTTTAAGAATCAAGGGGAGAAATTACGAGAAATTATTAGTGAAAAAACAGAGAGCACTTGTATATGAAAAGATTACAAACCTGGTAGGATCCACTTCAAAGCTTACATGTTGCCAATCAGAAGACGTGATAACAATTCGTAATAAAGGATCCAGGAGTTTTTGTAGGTAGGTAGCACCATATACCTAAAGAAACGCACAAGTAGGAATTTATTATGCCTGCTCCATATATCTTGCATTAAAAGAGGACGATCAGTTCTGTACATTCTATATATAATTACTACTGGACATACTTCAGCACACACACACAAAATGAATGATACAAACCTTGAAACAGAATGTCATTATTTTACTGGCCAAGCTGTTGCCTCGGAAAAGAGTCTGCATGGAGTCTGCCAATTCTACTTCCTTAGAAAACATGTTCCAGAGCAGTTGGTAGAGTAAATGCCGAGAATCAAATAGAGTAACCAGAACTCGAGCTAGTTCATCCTGAGAACAAAACAAAATCAGGTTGGTGCGAACAATCCATTTTTTTCTTAGGCAGGAAGCTGAAGATAAGCAAAAAAGCAAATCCAAAGTTGAAAACCACCTGCCAAATTAAGATAAATGGTGACTGATTACTATTTCTCCTGAGATTTATCTGTGTAATTTGCCTATAGTGGATGACTATTAAATGTTTATAACAGCTGTTAAGTCTAAGGATTAACTGGTGAAAGTTAGTAAGAGATGTAGGCTTTATCAGGAGACAAAAATTCCAAGATTCAGCTCAAATTATACAAAAATGAAAGAGCAGAAATAGAAGATGACAAGAGTTTAACTTGCATAGGCATTTGCACATAGCATTTTCTTAGAAAATCACTGAGGAGAAATAAGACTGGCAACCAGAACAGCTCTGCTCTCTTCTCATATGGTCAGGGGAACTCAGTGAACAACAAAAATGGAATGACTACAGGATTTTGATGAAATCAGGAAGAAAAGGGAACTGGGCACTCAGAACCCAGAGATCAGCCAGATTAGTGCGCAAAGCTAGGGAGTGGGGTGGGAGGAGGAGCTGAAATTCCCATCTATTACGGAAATGACAACCTTTATAATTCCCTACAATAAAGTAGTTTTTGGTACACTCAAGAAAAGTGATCTGATAGTAAATCACTGTTTAACCACATGCTGAGAAGAGATCTAAAAGCAGCCATAAAAAGGTGCCTCAATCCTCAAGGAGTAACAACAAAGGCCAGGATCATAGCCATAACTCCTTAATTCTTGCCTGGTCCCAGGATTAGAATGATCTGATATTTGAGTAAAGAAAAAAGTTTAATAATGCTAATCACAAATAATCAGGAAGCCAAAGAATTACGAAGACCCAATATTTTGCTCTACTCCTAATATATAATACATATTTGACTAGATATAAAAACTCTGTCCTCCATTATAAAGTCAAGTAAAATTATGACAATTCAGTTATAAAATAGAAACAATTTGCAGACTAATGTGCTAAGTGTTTTTTCCACTCCACTCCTTCCCTCCCAAATTCTGAAAACTTTAAGCAACATAATTTGAAAACATATTTACAAAATAGAATTAAATTTTTAAAAATATTACTTTATATTTTGTTCTCCTTTAGATATAGTTCTAACAGATTTGGCGTAACATAAAATTTCTTCTCAACATAAAAGTCATTTAATATAAAGCTCAATGAATTAAAGCTTCTTGGACTTCACTGATTCTTTTTGTTAAGAAAATTATTGAGTATTTTTAGTGCTAATTACAGGAAGGTGCTAACAAGATAATTTGGAATATCCATTTTCAAAACATTTGAAGATCTGTAAACTAATTTTAGGCTTTAAGAGGATTTCAATAATTTGGGGGTATTGCTAATCAATGTGCATAAAATTTTGGTTATACAAGATAAGTTTTAGAGATCTGCTGTACAACACTGTACCTATAGATAGTAATACTGTATTGTACACTTAAAAATCTGTTAAGAGAGCCAAGAGTGGTGGCTCATGCTTGTAATCCCAGCACTTTGGGAGACTAAGGTGGGAGGATATCCTTAGGCCAGGAGTCTGAGGTTGCTGTGAGCTATGATGACGCCATGGCACTCTAGCCCGGGCAACAGAGTGAGACCCCATCTCAAAAAAAAAAAAAATCTGTTAAGAGGGTAGATCTTGTACTACGTGTTCTTACCAAAATAAAATAAAATAATCAGAGGAGAAGCATTTCCGATGACATTAGCAGCAAAGGTGCTCTAAGGCAGAAACAAGTCAAACATGTATGAGGAATGGAAAGGTAGCCAATGTGGCTTAAGTTTACCAAACAAGAAGGAAAATGGCGTAAGATGATGTCCGAGATGAGACAAGGCCCAGATTAGGTAAAGCTTTATAGGCCAGAATAAGGAGTTTGAATTTTACTTTAAGTGTGGGTATAAGAAATATGATTCTGGCTGAGTGTGGTGGCTCACCCCTGTAACCCTAGCACTCTGGGAGGCTGAGGCAGGAAGATTGCTTGAGCTCAGGAGTTCGAGACCAGCCTGAGCAAGAACGAGACCCCTTCTCTACTAAAAATAGAAAAATTAGTCAGGCTTCATGGTGTGTGCCTGTAATCCCAGCTACTCGGGAGGCTGAGGCAGGAGGATCCCTTGAGCCCAGGAGTATGAGGTTGCTGTGAGCTAGACTGATGCCACGGCACTCTACTCAGGGCAACAGAGAGAGAGTCTTGTCTCAAAAAAAAGAAAGAAAGAAAAAAAAAGAAATATGATTCTATAGCTTTAAAGCAGAAACAAATCTATAAAAAATGACAAATTACCTTAGTTATAGTTTATTATAACTGACATCATTTTTTTGGTACACCATAAACCAAATGGCTTTTTAACAAGGAAATGGTCAACAACCCTCTCAAAGTCTCTATTATTAAGAATCACGTGATTTTAGGAAAAAGTTTCACTAAATTAAGGGAGAGGCCAAATAGCCATATTATGTCTTCAGTGTTTAAAGCAAGAAAATATCATAATTTCAAATGCAGTTACAGTGCTTAAATTAAAACAAAATTTTACAAGACATTACAGAAAAAGAATAGCAAACTGGAAGGAGTAAACAGGCACAAATCGTGGATTCCAATTCCGGCTTTTCTTGACAACTAACTAAAATTAGGTTTAATCTAATTACCTTACCTAATATATGAAGACACCAGCCCAGATCAGTGGTTTTTAATTTTCTTTAAATCAGTGTTTAAATGGAATTTTTCAGTGGGTGTAAGGAGATAGAACACTAGCAAGGGCTAAATGTGCCAACCAACTCCGTACAGCTAAAAACCACTTAACTAAATATCTAAAGTTTGTTCTAGCTCTAAAACTGTTATCAATTCATTCAATAAACATTTATTGAACAAATATATTTTGAAGCATTTGCTATGTGCCAGCCACTTTTCTTCCCCACTAACTCAATGCACTTACCCACTGAGAACAAGGGACCACATTGGCCAGAGCCATAGCTATAGGCAGCTCTCCCTGATCACCCATCATTGTGACCAATTCCACCAGTCTCTCAAACCGATCTGCCAATACTGTTTCTGCAAGTGTGTCAAATTCTGTGCCTTGTTGAAGGATTTTTGTCAGAACTTCCATAAATGTAGCTCTTGTCTGGAGATCCTTGTGATAACCTAAACCTGAACAAACAGATGCAAATTTACTAACAGGACCTTGCTGAAGTAATTTTTACTTGTCTTACATGGCAATTCTCTAGGTTTTACATTTCTATAGCAATATTTCATTTGATCTTACCTATGGAGTGCATAAGGCCACTGTCCACATTAGCATTGAGTAAGTTGGACATTGCAAGTACTGTACAGTGCCTCAGTGATGCCAGCCTCCGAGACATGCCACGTTTCCTGCCACCTGTTTGTGCATTTTCATCTTCAACTTCACTGCAGTCATTCAAAAGGTTCATAAACAACGTGAAGTATCTGAGAAATAAAAAGACTAACCCTTACACAGTGAAGGCCACATCAACTACAAAGCTAAGCAGGCATTCTGAAGTAATCATATGTGTACTGTATGGGTGGCCCTGGGCATCTGTTTCTCTCCTCTCTTGCGATAATCAGCCATGGTGGCTCATTATGAGGTGCGCTATGTTGGATTATAATTTTTTTTTTTTTATGTTTTTTTTTTTTTTTTTTATTTCAGCAAATTATGGGTGTACATACGTTTAGGTTACGTGTGTTGCCCTTGGTTCCCCCCCTACCGAAGTCCGTGCTTCAAATATGGATTATAATTTTTGTCTCCACAAAGCCCAGTACCCATTTCATAACATAAGCACCAAATAGATGCACTGTTTCTTGGTAAATGTGTCACTTTTAATGTTTAGCATATACAACCAGTAGTCCTAATAGTTTAGACAATGTCATTTTAAATGACAATGAAGCAATCTCGGTTGTATTACAAGTAAAAATTCACTGACTACATCATTTTCTTTAAATATTGCAAAACGCTGTTGTTTTCCTGTCTCAATCCTGTCACAGGGAATATTTCTTCACAAGTATGGTATATTTTATGAGACAGCAGCTAATGGCCACAATACCAAAGCAGTTAGATCCACTATAATCATTTGCCATTTTGGTTACACTTGATTTGTTTTGTGTGTGGGGCTATATTTGCTTTTTGCTTTCTGTTTTGGGTGACTGAAATTTACTTAAGAAATAACTGTGATTTGGCTTCCATCAATTCCACACCATCTCCTTCCTCAGGCTGCAGTGGGAGACCAGCTAGGAGTGAAACTACTGCTTCCATGCTTGCCTGGTCCAAATCTCTGAAAAAAAAAAAATTTAGAGACTGTAAGTCCTTCAGGTTCTTCCATTTCACCCTCCCCTCAAATACACCTCTTACTAACAGACATAAACTTTAGGAACTACCTATTTCATTAAAAAAATTATTAGCACAACCTAAATAATTTGAGTTGATATGCAGACCCCAGAATACAAAACATTTCAAACTGGGGAGAAGGCAATAACAACTTTCTACAAAGTAATTTTGGCAAAATGACTACCTTAAATCAAAAGTATGTTCAGTAAGCCCTCCATATCTATGAGTTCTGTATCTGTGGATCCAATCAACCACAGATAGCAAATATTCGGGGAAAAAAAGGATGGTTGTGCCTGTACTGAACTTGTACAGACTTTATTTCCTTACCATTATTCCCTAAACAATATGGTATAACAACCATCTATACAGCATTTACTACTGTATTAGGCATTATAAGTGATCTAAAGATAATTTAAGGTATACAAGAGAGTATACGTAGGTTATATGCAAATACTACACAATTTTATATAAGGGACTTGAGTAGCTGTGGATTTTGGTGTCCACGGGAGCAGGGGGTTGGGAGATCCTGGAACCAGTCCCCCACAGACACTGAGGGATGAATGTATTATAAGACCAGGCCTAGCCAAAGAAACATATGTGAATTGTTATTATATGGTTCACATTGTTTAATCACTTTCTGATAAGTTTCAATAAGTATTTATCACTAAAGCAAACTTAAGGAATTACTTCTTAGAAAGATTCAACACAATTAAGTTCCTCAAATAATGCCTTTATCAAATCACCAAATAAATACATTGAGGCTTTATATATCTTATTTCTCAATAACTATAGACTGTTCTTCCTAAATTGACAACATTAACTTTCCAAACATGACACTCCCATTTGTTTTCACTGAAAGTCTATCAGTTTAAAAAAACAGTAATAATAAAGATTAATATCTTTATTTCAAACACAAAAGCTTGACATCTAAAAAAATTCAAATACACATAAAATATATGTATAATGGCTATAATGAAGTAGTTGTAATGCTTAGAGTAAAACCTGCTAATACTTAAAAGTCATTCTCTTTTTTACCTTGTAAGACATTTTACATCATCATCTGCTGCTTGGTTTGATGTTCCCATGACCCAGTCTGTCAAGTATTCTACCATCTTATTTCTACAGAATGGTGGAAAAAAGGGAGATAGCAAACAATTTTTTAAAGCCACACGCACACACACACACTTTTAGTCATACAAGATTTTTTTAATAGTGCAAATAACTTGCCAAATAATCCAAGTGACATGGCAACTTTAAAAAACAGATATTACTATCACAGATGTAAAAGTCAGATGAGCAAAAACACAAGCAACTTGGATATTGATCCTCTGCATTGGCCCTTAGCTATGGTAAGTTTGGAAATAATTAGGTTCTTAGCTCAAGTATAGCACAATTTTAGAAAAAGGAGCATTGCAATGGGCACAACGCTTTTGTAAATTTGAAAAAAACATGCAGAGAAAAACAAACACATAAAATGTTCCTCTTCCACTTCCTCTTTTCCTCTGATAATCAAGTCCTCCTATTTTTCGGTACTTCATTTAACACACTAAGATTTACAAAACTCTATTTTGCTCTTTTGAGAACTCACCTAAATTTCATCTCTTGACAAAATGAGAGGTCATCTCTCCTTGCCATCATTACTTCAACCAACTGACATAGTTTGGTTTTTATTTGAATTGCGTGGACCATATTCCCAAGCACACGAACATATCTATTTAGACATAGAAACATCAAAAAAACCCATCAGATATAGACAAAAAAGAAGGTATTCTAAATGCTTTAATCACTAAGAAAAAGACTAAATGTAACTTTAAAAACAGTAAGATTTTTAATTTTTTATATGAGAAAATGTACAACTTCTGGTTACCTTACTGACATCCTATTTTGGGTGTAGTAAAGAAAAGGATGACAAATTATTTCATCAATTACTATGAATACCAATGTGTAAGAGGTTTTTCCTACCCCCTAAAATGTTCCTGCTACATTTCAGCAAAATGCTTACCTGACCAGATTTAACATCATTGTTTCAATGCTAGCTTGCCCCAGATGTTCAGAGCTGCCTTCAGTATGATTATCTAGTAAGTTCTTCATTATAGCTATGGTTTGCTCTACAAATTGAGTATTGGTATCAGTCAATAAAACCTATACAAAGAACAAAATACATTAGTAATTCGCCATCAATGCACAGAAGGCAGACCATAGAGAGATGAAACTAACTAGTGTAAATATACACACAGAAAAATGCACTCATAGGCATATATCCAAACAAGCACATAGATATACACAGACACTTATACTCATACCCAAGATATTCATAATCCCAGGCACACTCATAAGAACAGAGTTCCTAAGAAGCAAACTGATCCCTACATTAGATGTAGGGATCTACATTAGATGACTCGTCGTTCTGCAATTTTTGACAATTTTTTAAAATAGTGAGTATTCACGACAGTACCTAATTTAAATAATTAAATAATTATTTCAAACGAGTTACTCTATTCATAGGAAAGGGTGAAAAATAAAAGAGAACACTTTACCTGTCCTTGGGAGTCAAAAAACTTGCTGATGGTATTCTTCAACTTGTTAAATAGCATTGGATAAAGAGCAGGACTCAATTCTAGACCCACTAGATCCTTAACGTTGGTCCGTATTTGAAGTCCTACTTTCTCATGGTTACACACCATTAAGGACAACAGCCGATCCATAAATTTGCTGACAGGTGTATCTGCATTTCCCTCTGAGGACATCACTGAAATCATGGAGCCCTTACGTTCACTGACTGGGCCCATGGGTGGGCTATAGGTTGCCAGGCCAGAATTGCTTCTCTGCTGCAGGCACACTCCCCCAAGGGCACAAAGGAAGCCAGTCATGTTGATCCATTCCTGAAGGGAATCTGTGTCAGACAAATCTATGGATCCTCCTCCGCTCACGTGGGACATTCGCCTCTTAACAATGGTCTTGTGAAGGCTTTCAGCAGCCTAAAGACAAAATTTTTGTGCAAAGCATGAATTCAACCTAAATTTGTTGAGACTTGACAAATTACTCTTTATGAAGCATTTCTTCCATGACAAACATATATGTTTTACATTTAAAAAAATCAAAACCTGAAATTACTCTATATATTTTTAAAGAGGCACTGATATATTTTTGTTATAGCTAGACTAATATAATCGAACTAGAAAAAAAATTTATTTTAAACAGCTTTGATTCACATGGATGAACCTTGAAAACATGTTAAGTGAAAGAAAACAGTTACAAAAGCCCACAGATTCATTTATAGAAAAAAGATTTGCCTATCTTGGCAAATCTAGAGACAGAAAACAGATTAATGATTGCCAAGGGCTGGAGGGATGGGGGGTGCAGAGAGGTAGGAAAGCAGAAGGTTAAGGGGGCAGAGATTGCTAAAGGGTTTTTTTTGAGGTGATGAAAATGTTCTAAAATTGATTTTTGTGATGGTTGTACAACTCTGTGAATATACAAAAAACAGTCACTGAATTGGACATTTTAAATAGGTGAATTGTATGCTATGTGAATTATGTATCAATTAAACAGTTAAAAGCTTTCATTCTAAAGCTACGTGTCCTCTCCAAATAATGATATTGGGTACACAATTTTGCTTCACCAAAAAAAAAAAAAAAAAAAAAACAAAAAAAAAAAAAAAAACCCAAAACTTTTTTCTTATTCTTATTAAGCATAACAGGCAAAAAAAGCAATGAGGGAGAAAAGTTTTTTAAAAACACCTAATGAGAGCAATATGGGCATTACAAATCAAATGCACAAAAATACCAATTAAATGTTAATTTCTGAAGTACTAGGTGATAATACAATTGACAGTAATAGTAGATGGATAAAATGTCTAACTTTTAAAATTTCATTTAACCTATGGGTTCAATCTTCTGACCACCAGATCCCTCAATTAGAATACCTAACAAAATAGCAAAATGATTGTTTCAATTTTAATTTATTTTTCTCTACCTCTGTTGTCCCTTTTTTGAAAGTTCTGTGAAATACTCTGATGAAGGCAGAAAGAGCAAGGAAGAGGCTAAAGAAATCTCTACTATAAATGCTCTCTAGGAGTACTGCCCAATATTTTCACAACAATGGAAACATTTTATATCTCTGCTGTCTAATATAGTAACTAATTGCCACATGTGGCTATTGGATACTTGAAATGTGGCTACTGTATGACCAAGGAATTAAATTTTAATCGTATTTAATTTTAATGTAAGTTAAAATTTAATTTAAATAGTCACATGTAGCTAGTGGCTACCATATTAGATAGTGCAGGTCTAGATGAACCACAACTAAGTATCAGTCTCAAGACAACTATATGCTTACACAAGGAGTGACTCACAAAAGATTACTGAAGTACATATGATGAGCAGATGAACTAACAGACAAAATCAACTTTACAAACTCACCTGACCATCTTCCATTTTGGCTTTTGGATAGTTAAGGATTAGTTTTGTAGCTTGTTCCCACTTTGCATGTGTATCTTCCCAAGCCTAAAATGAAGGCAATTATCACTTGAAAGCAACTTTAAGCCTAGACCTAAAAATCAATTGGGTACAGCTAAGTTTCAAACTTGGTGCAAAGCACAAATATAACATATTACTTGTAGTATGCATACATCTTAGATTTGCTTCAAAAGCTATTCCAGATCACATGCATGTAACATGAGGCTTCTAAAAGGTTTTTTTTTTTTTTTTGAGACAAGAGTCTCACTCTGTTGCCTGGAGTAGAGTGCCGTGGCGTCAGCCTAGCTCACAGCAACCTCAAACTCCTGGGCTCGAGCAATCCTACTGCCTCAGCCTCCCAAGTAGCTGGGACTACAGACATGCGCCACCATGCCCGGCTAATTTTTTCTATATAGATTTTTAGTTGTCCAAATAATTTCTTTCTATTTTTAGTAGAGGCGAGGTCTCGCTCTTGCTCAGGCTGGTCTCGAACTCCCGACCTTGAGCGATCCACCGCCTCGGCCTCCCAGAGTGCTAGGATTACAGGCGTGAGCCACCGCACCCGGCCTCGAGGTTTCGGTTGCTAAGGGCATACCTCAGTGTTTCCTGCAGTGGGATGCTCAATGCGCCTTAGCAGTGCCATCACTCTTTTCTGAAGTGCTGCTCTCCCTAAGCAAAGACAACAGCAAATCAAGTTACTACACTGAGAGCCCTGCTTGCCAAGGAAGAATGTGACAAGCCCCACCCAAAAGGCAGAGTAGGAAGAATAGAAGAAATGCTCCAAAAACTTCCTTTCAGCAACCTCACAGGAAAGGCATTTATCTTGGATCCCACTATGTACGCAGCATAAAACAGCTATCCTCACCTATAATTCACTCAAAACACACACCAAGTGCTTAAAATTTCACTACATACGATTGAGGCAGAGTAAATTATACAATCTAAACTGATAGTGATCTATGTACTGCCAATTATTTAAAAATGTATAGCATATTAAAAAGTCAGTGAGAAAAAATTTATTTTAAATGCTATTTATTTTCACCCTTCTTTGTTTAGAAAAGGATTTCAAGTAAGCTATTTGAATTAGCCCAGTAAACTTATAAAGCAGTAACCTTAAATACATTCCTAACACAATCAGATTCATATAATTTGAGGCACCCTGAGTAAAAAACCCCATTATCCACATTTACGTTACCTGTTGACATCATATTGCTGACAGAGGCAAACTCCATGAATGTGTTATAGTTGGGCAAGAAGTTGTGCACCGACACTTCATCCACCCCACACCGGATATCCGCTTCCTCACAGAGGTGGCGGAAACAGGACATGGCAACCAAAACAGCTTCAGTGTCAGGGCTCCACAGAAACATGTACAGCGCCACTTCTAGTTTGGTCTGGGCTTGTCGGCATATTGGTGGGGTTCCGCTGCATCCTGCTGCACTATCCTGGTAGCCAGGGGTGGGAGGCATAAATTTGCAACTTAGGTGATTTTATTTATAAAACCCAACAATGCAATAAATTATACCATATATATCAGCATATATTAAAGAGCTTTCCCCCTAATCATGATAGGAATTTTTCAACCCCCCCCCAATATCTTGTCTAAATAAGAAATGAGATTATTTGGACCAATATAATGCTACTATCTGTCCAATTTCAATGCAAATAGGTATTATCCTATTCCAGATTCCAGAAATGTAAATAAAGTCTAACATGGATACTAGTAAAACACCACAACATAAATCTACTAAGGAAAAATATAATGTACTTCCTAGTCAATCATAAATGACAAAAAAAGTAGCAGGAAATTCTATCTATGTACTATATGGAAGAAATAAAATAAGTACACTGTAGCACTGACTGAAATAAGGGCATAAAGAAGAACTAAACAGTGCTGTAGAAGATATATTTGATTCTAAATTACGTATTACCCAAACACGAAATGGAGAAACTCATTTACTAAATGAATACACACTCTGCAGCTAAAGCAGACAACAGTAAAAACCATACTGCTTAGTTGGAACTGTGGGCATATCTGCAGCCACTATGCAACCCCAAGGAGGGACAGACATGCCCAGGTGCTCCCATGTACCCATGGGAAGGTCCCTACCAGCCTGCTGTGGGCTACTGTTGAGACTGAGACACGAACAGAACGTTCCATAGTTTCTCGGCCACGTGGCCTGCTTGGGTGGGGCCCAACCTTTCTGGACTCAGGTCCAAGGTGTCATTTTGAGAGGCTGACACTGGGCTGTGTCCTACCCCTGGGCCAAGTTTGGGCTTGACATGGCTGCAGCCCACCTGACTGGGGAGGAGTAGGGAAACCAGGCTTTCTAGCATGCATCTGGGATGGTGCCCACCATCCTGCATCTGGCTGCTGTGAGACCGAGTCTCAGGCAAACTGCACTCCCCAGTTTCCTGCCAGAGCAGCCTGCCTGAGAAGGGCTCCCCTTTTTGGTCATCAGCCCAGGGTGTCACTTTGCGAGTTCAAAGTGAGGCAGTGACCCAGCCTTGGGCTGAGTTTGGGCTGATGTGGTTGCAGCACTGACCAGATGAGGAGGGAACGGGAAGCCCAAGCTCTCCTACCTATTCCTAGAACAATTCCCACCTCCCTGCTACAGGCTCCTGTGAGACTGCGACATGACTGGAGAGCATTCCCCACAGTCTCTTGCTCATGCTGCTTGTCTGAAAGGAGCCCTGCCCTCTTTGATTGCAGGCCCATACCCAGCACCATTTTGAGAGTTTAACATGGGCTATGCCCCACCCTTGGGCCAAGTTCAAGGTGACAGGACTGCAGTAGTCACATGGCTGGGAACGGACAGGAGAGACTAAGCTCTCCTAAACACACTTAAGACATTACCCACCACCCTGTAACAGTTAGCTGTGGGACTGGGGACTAGCCTACTAGTAACACCAACACAGACCACTTGGGTCAAAACATCGATGTCATTTTTCACAGAATTATAAAAAACAGTTCTGAAATTCATATCGAACCAAAAAAGTGCCTGAACGGCCAAAGCAACCCTAAGCAAAAAGAACAAAACTGGAGGCATCACATTGTCTGACTTCAAATTATACACAAGGCTACAATAACCAAAACAGCATGGTAATGAGATAAAAATAGACATATAGATGAATGGAACAGAATAGAGAACCAAGAAATAGAGCCACATACTTATAGCCAACTGATCTTTGACAAAGTCAACAAGAACATACACTGGGGACACCCTTTTCAATAAATGGTACTGGGAAAATTGTATAGCCATATGCAGAAGAATGAAACTGGATTCCTATCTCTCACCACATACAAAAATTAACTCAAGATGGAGTAAAGACTCAAATGTAAGATCTGACACTATAAAAATACTAGAAGAAAACCTAGGGAAAACTGTTCTGGACATTGGCCTAGGCAAAGAATTTATGACTAAGACCCCAAAAGCAAATGCAAAGAAAATAGAGAAATGGCACTTAATTAAACTAAAAAGCCTCTGCACAGCTACAGAATCAAAAGAGTAAATAGTCAACTTACAGAAAGGGAGAAAATATTTGCAAATATGTGCAAATTCATTCTTCTGCATATGGCTATACAATTTTCCCAGTACCATTTATTGAAAAGGGTGTCCCCAGTGTATGTTCTTGTTGACTTTGTCAAAGATCAGTTGGCTGTAAGTATGTGGCTCTATTTCTTGGTTCTCTATTCTGTTCCATTCATCTATATGTCTATTTTTATCTCATTACCATGCTGTTTTGGTTATTGTAGCCTTGTGTATAATTTGAAGTCAGACAATGTGATGCCTCCAGTTTTGTTCTTTTTGCTTAGGGTTGCTTTGGCTGTTCAGGCACTTTTGTGTCCAACAAAGGACTAGAAGGAACTCTAGTCCAGACTCTAGAAGGAACTCAAACAACTCGGCAAGAAAAAAACAAACAATCCCCTTAAAAAGTGGACAAATGGGTATTTTTCAAGACAAGATAGACAAATGGCAACAAACATATGTTCAACATCACTAATCATCATAGAAATGTAAATTAAAACCATAATGAGATATCATTTTACTCCAATCAGAATGGCTATTAGAAAGTAAAAAAAATAACAGATGATGGTGTAGATGCAGTGAAAAGGGAACACTTACATACTGTTGGTGGGAAAGTAGATTAGTACAACTGCTATGGAGATCAGTATGGAGATTTCTCAAAGAACTAAAAGGAGACCTACCATTTGACTTTGTAATCCCACTACTGGGTGTCTATCCAGAGGAAAAGAAATCATTATATCCAAAAGATACCAGAATCGCATGTTATCACAGCACAATTCAAAATTGCAAAGGTATGTAATCAACCTAAGTGCCTATCAACTGACGAGTAGATTAAGGAAATGTGGTATATATACACTATGGAGTACTACTCAGCATTAATAAAGTATGAAATAATATAATGGGTTTTGCAGCAACTTGGTTGGAACTGGAGGCCATTATGCCAGGAACAGAAAAATAAATGCCACAGGTTCTCATTTTTAAGTGGGAGCTAAACTATGGCTATACAAAGGCACACAGAGTGGTATAATGGACATTAGAGACTCAAAAGGGGTGAGGGGGGACAGTGAGGGAGGGAGAGAGGGATGAAAAATTACCTATGGAGTACAATGTACACTACTCAGGTGACTAGTACACCAAAAGCCCAGACTCCACCACTGCACAATAATGTACATGTAACAGAATTCAACCCCCTAAACCTACTAAAATAAGAAAATAATGGGATAATAATAATTCCTGCTCCAGAGTTGTGAGGATTAAATGAGATGATGTGTAAATAGTACTTGACATTTATAAGCTATAATTGATAACTAATTATTAGAAACCTCCACCCCATAAGAAAAACCATTCGTATCCAAGAAGTTTAAAAGTTGTACCAACTATAGATTTACTGGGATAAAAACCAAGTATTTTGCTTGATGTTGTAGATAAGTGTTTCTGTGATTTTTGTTTGTGTATATAATTCCTTTTAAATATAAATAAATCATAATACAAGTGAAAATAACAAATCATTACAGAATAGTTTCTTTTCCAGGTCAAAACTTTCTTTATTTCTAATTTTTATTTATGATTTTTTTTTTCTTTTCTTTTTCTTTTTGGTAGAGATGGGGTCTCACTCTTGCTCAGGCTGGCCTCGAACTCCTGAGCTCAAGCAATCCTCCTGCCTCGGCCTCCCAGAGTGCTAGGATTACAGGCATGAGCCACCACGCATGGCCAGGAATTATTATCCCCATTTAAAAGTTCAGACTCTTGGGCACAGGGATGTTAAGAACTCACCCAAAGTTTCACAGACAGCAGTGATAGAACTAGAATCTAAGCAGTTTTTAACCATTACTATCTTACCTACTTGAAATTTACCAAAGTTCATTTGATAAAAAATAGAGCACAGATGATGATATGGAAAAATTACAAAAGCAGCTTCTTACCATGGAGGAGTTTCCTTTTCCTTTCCGGACAGAGGCTCCAGGAGTACAGGTACGTAGTAACTCTTCATGATCCATGGACATTTGACTGGTATTTCCACTAGAAGGAACATCACATCCTACTCCATAAGGGAAGAGAAAGTGACAGGAACTTCTATCTGCCTGCTAGAAAAAAGAAAAAAATAAGCTCTACCGAAGCACTGACAACCAAGAGGAATAAACAATGTTGAGTTGCCTTTCTGTTTCAAACTTGGAAAACCTCTCCTCTTAATCCCTACATCCCACCTGGAGGAATGTTCATTAGAAACCCATCAGAATGAATAATGTTTGCTCGACGTCTTTGAAACTCCTCTTAGTTTTCCACTCTCCAAATCAGAAACAGCACATTCTAGAAATATAAATTAAGGCTAACATGGACACAAGGAAAACAACAACATAAATCTAATGTATCAAAACTGTAGTGCAATCTCAACAACAAAGATTTCCTCCCACAATATTTTATCCTACGCCATGTCAGGATAATTGGAAGTTGACTCTTTTAAGTTCTTCTGGACCAGTAATTAACATTAGTATATACACCAAGTATGTCACAAGAGTGACTTTGCTGATCAGAGTACTACACTTTCATTGCTGGATTACCAATGTTTATACTCTGGAGATTATACCATAGACAAGGGCATGAAACTCTGAAGTCTAATCTCTTTCCCTATCTCTGGAATAATGCCAAATTCCACTATATTAGCACACTAAGATAAGCCAGATGTGAATAAACCCATCTCACCATTAGCCCATTTCTAAACAGAGAATTTAACAAGCTGCATGGCACTGACAAGCATATGAGTTTCATACATTTAAGATTTCTCATAGCTATGATTGTAGGACTGAATAAAAACTCATTAAGTCAAGTGCTCCTAAAACTATGTAATAGTAGAATTTTTAAATTGATTAATTATATTAATAGAACCTGTATGTTAAAACATATTTAAGGCTCTTCTCTATCCCTCACAACCTCACCATGTTTCAATAGTTCAGGATCAAAAAGTTTCTCCCTAAGGAAGAAGTCTATTGTATTTTCAAGAGGTGAAATTTTTATGGGAGGAATATAAATAAACCTAGATTGAGGACTCTCAACCTGTCCCCTTTAGCTTCTTGATAGATAACATTCTGTGAACTAGCCTAGCCATAAGAGACAAGTCTTACATATGAACTTGAGAGTAAAGACAGAATACGCTCCTCAATTTACTTTGGTTATAGCAGCCCCTACTCCTTCTATGCTTGCCCCATAGAGACCTCCTTAACTTACCTACAATTCATCAATATTGTGGCTTTAAGGCCAAAGCCTCAGAATAATTTTTAAAACGTTGACTTGCCAGCCATTCTCCTCTGCACATATATGTCCCTTTGAGAACCTTGTAGGAGGAAGGAGCTAAAGCAGGACCTAATTTGGTTATTAATAAACACTTCCTTAATCGTTCCTCATTATCATTTCAAATATTCTTCCATCTTTAAAGATGTAATTTTGCTTACCTTATTTTTAAGAAGAAATTTATTCCTGCAGATCAAAATTTCTCGCAACCACTTGAGAATTTCTGTGCTACTAAGCATTTGATGGCTAGTTAATTTCTTACAGATGTAAAAAAGCATTTGTGAGCTGCAGCAACAAAAAGTTCATTGTTACCAGCATCATCAATACATAATCTAATATAGATATAATCAGTACATAAGAAAGGCATTATCTCACAATGGATATAAGTTTAGTGAACCTGAATTTCCCATGCAGGGTTTGTTTTAATAGTTATCAAAATGTCGACAGCACCATAATCAAAGGAAATAAGTCTACAGGTTATATTTAAAAAGCAAGTACTTATAAGCCCCCTATGTTTCATCAAACTCCCAATGTTTCATCCATGTATCTCATCCTTGCAGTGGACATAAAAGCAAACGATAAACCACATACACAGCAGAGACTGTATATAAACCTAGTGCTCTAGAGCATGGGTTCTGAAAACCACCACCCACAGACCAAATCCAGCCTACCGTTTGCTATTATAAATAAAGTTTTAATGGAACTGGCCACATCCATTCATTCACATATTGTCTATGGCTACTTTCATGCTCCAAAGGCAGAACTGAATAGTTATGACAGAAATTATATGACCCCCAAAGCCTAAAATATTTACTATCTGGCCCTTTAGAGAACAAGCTTCTTGATCCTTACTCTAGAGCTGCACTGTCCAACATGGTAGCCACTAGTCAGTCATATGTGGCTACTGAGCACTTTAAATATGGCTTTTCCAAATTGAGATATGCTGTAAGTATAAAACACAAACCAAATATTGAAGACTTTATAAAAAAATAAAAATATCTCATTAATAAATTTTATATTAATTATATGCTGAAGCTGTAATATTGTAAGATATGTATCTATATACTGGGTTAAATAAAATATATTATTAAAATTAATTTTACCTGTTTATTTTTGCTTTGTAATGTGGTAACTAGAAAATTTTTAAATTATATATGTGGATCACATTATATTACTATTGGAGAGCACTGCTCTAGAGTTTAAGATTTAACTCAGCTGCCAAGTGACTCGGCAAACCCATTTCTGTAAGATAATGGTAAACTTGAGGTTTATACATTTATATTTTCCTCAATGTGGTGAGTTTATGCTATTAAAAAGTAATAATTTATATAACCTAGGAAATAGACTATAAAATTCTGTATGTATTTTTGCCTTCTAAGCAGATGTCCACTATTAATTCATTCATCAAAAGCACTGGTATTATGGAAAATTTATAAAAGATCATAGTTTTAAAAACTGAAAAAATGATTGTTATAAAATTTTATCACTTTAGGCTTATAACCATGAAAATCTATGAAAAACACAGTTGTAACTACATAGCAATCTGAAACAGAAGATAATACACCAAATGACAGTACTTATGGTTGCATGATAAAATATATCACTATTTTTAAAAATTTATTCTCTAAATTGCTGTAACAATGTTCTACAGTTAAAATAAGAAATATTCTAATAATTTCAAGTCAAAGAAAATATAAAATCATAAAACTTCTGGAAGTATAAGTAAAATTTTATAATGAACTAAGCACTGTAGAGTTGATATTTAAAGAAAAAAATAAAACTTTAAAATTGAATTTAAAAATAAAAGTACATATACCTAATCTCCCAAAATGTTTCTACAGGAGCATCAGGATTCCACAAATCAATGCTATCTAACTGATGAAGAACCAGCAGAGCCTGAATTTTAAAAAAGAGAGAAAGAGAGAAGACTCAGTCAAAACATATTTGGTAAATGCAACACTGGAGTACTTATGTTTAAAATGCTAAAAAAGTGAGCTATTTAATTTATAGGCTCAATTCACAGTAAAAAGTGAAAAAGAAAAACTCCAGAGAACACAAATCTCTAGAGAATAATATATGCAGAAGGAAATCGCTTTATTTCCATCATTCTCACTTTAAAAACATGCATACATAAAGTAAAAGATTCAAGAATTCAGAATATATGACTGTAAAAACTGTTTAAGAAACAAAATGATTTCAATGCATAGTAAAGAATTCTATGAAACAACAAGTGAATCCCCAAGGTGAGCTCACCAAAAATACACACAGCAAAAGTTAAAGTGGAAATCATCTCGCTTGTCACAAATTCTTTTGTAACAGAAAAGATAAATTATTTTTCAAAGAGAGAGGAAGCGAAACAGACTTTGCATTTTATGGCAGACTATTCATCCCAAAGTAATTCAATTGACCATAGAACGGAAATTGGAACTTGGCTCACAGAACATCAACAAGAATTAAATAATTCATTTAAAATATACAACATATAAATTACTATTTGTAAAACCATCAAAGGTATAAAAAATAGGCTGGGCACAGTGGCTCACACCTGTAATTCCAGTGCTTTGGGAAACCTAGGCAGGAGAATGGCTTGAGGCCAGGAGTTAGAGACCAGCCTTGGCCACACAGCAAGACCCCATCTCTACAAAAAATTTAAAAATTAGCCAGTGTGGTGGCACAAATCTGTAGTACTAGTTACCCAAGAGGACCATTTGAGCCTAGGAGTTCAAGGTTACAGTGGGCTATGATTGCATCACTGCACTCCAGCCAGGGCAACAGAGCAAGATCCTATCACACACACCAAAAAAGGTATAAAAAGTAAAATATAGACTCTCCCTTCAAAATGATCCTACCTTAACTTCAATTCCACAATGCTTCCCCAATCCCCAACAAACACTGTTGAGCTCTGCACATTTCTTTCAGTCCTTGGTCAACATATTGATGATTTCTTTACTCTCTAATTTTAAAGCCTTTTATTAAAACTCCAACAAAACACTATTTGGAACAAACAATGAAAACTATTTCTTCTTTTAAAACCAAATCAAATGCATGAACTGCAAATCCCTGCATTGATAACCTGCTTCACACTGGGAAAAGATACGTAAATGTTTAACCTTGGATCACTTTATAAGTCCAAAATTTATAAACTATATAAAGACCAGACCTATATTATTTCAAACACTCTTATTGTAATTACTTTTAAATATTTAGTGAAAATTGCAATTTATTGTGAGAATCTTCAAAAGTTATATAA